GGGACTTGTGAAGATATATATAATGTTGACAGTAGACCATATTATCTGTAGTATTGAAATTCGATCTAATACAGATCTATTCGTGTGAAGAATCTATGTAAATCGGCTATGTAGTTTGTAAGTTAATTGTTAATTCAAATTAACATTTGCTAACGGCATTTTCGAATAATAAAAAACACTACATTTTAGTAGCATCCATATACACTTCTTTTAATACTAAAAAATACAACTCATTATTGCTGTCAAATATATGTCGTCATTTTATGTTGAATGACACAGACAAAAAGCTTATCTACCAACCAGAGACCCGCGCCAATTCGGTTTAAAAACAACTAAGCCTAGCCGCCGGAAAAATTGTCAAAGCCGGCCTCACCGAAAAATGTCTTCACGGACCTAGAGGATATAACCTGGCTAGGTATGTAGATGTTGTTTGGGCAAAATATTGGTACTAACCATTGTGGGCTTTATGTCCACTTTAGATCCCTTATAGTTGTCACACTTTACCAAATAAGCATTCTTGCTGGAATTAAAGTTTAAAACAAGTTTAATTCCAGACAAACATTCAAATTTCAAGTGTTGAAATACACTTTCATTACACTTTAATTCAATAGCATTCTCCACTGAAAACGAAACTTGAATTCAAGTTGAACATTACAATGTTTTTACAGTATAATTCAATGCACGAAATCTATATACATACGTATATAAAATTCTAACGTTACTGACTGACTGATTCATCATCGTAGAGTCTAAACGGTCGAAGCTAAAGAGCTAAAATTTAGGCAGGAGGTTGGTCTCCCACCAAATGTATCCAATAAGACGGGATTTTTGGAAATTCCAATTTTTTGGGGGGTTAAAAAAGGGTAAAAACGTAAATTCGGTAACCTCAAATCTCCTAAACTAGAAAAGTTACAAAAACAGTTAAAGCTTATCGTCGTTCATTAAAAAAAAAGCGGACAGGTGTCCGGTATTATAGTATATTTAGAAACTGATTTTCTGCAATGGTACTAACTATTGTGGGCTCTGTGTCGACTTTAGAACCGTTAGAGTTATCACACTATATGAATGATTTATAAAAGAAAATAACAACGTTTATCTGAAGTTATTCCTTCCCATCACTTGTCTGTATCCTCAAGAATGGCAAAAAAAAAACTTTAGAAGAAATGAGGAAATGTGTTTGGATTTGAATATCATTTCATTTTGAATTGCCTGTTGGAACAGGTCTGCAATATGCGTACTCAAGTGGTTAGTTTCTTGGGAGCATAACAATTTTTATACATTGCATTACATATATAAATCTCAAATGGAATTGTTAGTCTGCCGCCCTTGTTGATTGGATTCTAACGTTAATCATATTAGATCGCCCTGCAGAAGAGATATGGTTTTACTTTCAAATTCTGTTTTGCGACCATTGAATTTAGACTCTATGATGAGTTCGTTGAATTCAGGTTCACCCTGGCTAGTGTACGGAAAACAAACAAATAGTTCCAAGTGTAATGGTGTCGAATGTAATACTACTGTGGCGCCTATTACAGCTGTTTTGTTTGCAGGTTTGTTATCGCCTACAGAAAGTAACTTTAACGTGCATAACTAACATAGAAATGCTAGTATAGCAATAACATACAACATGATCGAGTTTAATATCAATCGAAATGTCTGTAGGCCATTATTGTCCCTGCCCACCCATATAAGGTCACAGATTCAAAAATTAGTTTTAACGTTTTTTACGGACTTAATAATACCATAATAAAACAAGTTTTGTTGGAACGAAAATATGTATGTCTACATGTAAATTTCCTACTCTGATCGACAATTTTTAAAATATTTACTTACATCCAATATCCCACTTTTTAATCTCTGCAATTCTTTTTTTATTTAAAATCATTTAAAATTTAAAAATAAAACGTAATTGAAAACTTGACGGTTTACAGTTGATTTTAAGACGTCTCCGACATATTTAGTGTCAGCCGCCGACGCCGTTAATATTTGTCGGCGCAGGGATCTGGCTTGTTTTCTACTTCGTATTCTCATTGTATCGTTCGTTTCCCGTTGTGTTTGTTTAATAATTAAGATAAAGTTTATTTTATTTAACTTTGTTAAAGCATTTCATACTTATCTAAAAGAAAAAATTCCACAACAATGGTTTCCTATTCCTTTGAAGGTAACAAACGTCTCTGGACTGTAAGAGATGAAGAGGAAAATGAAAAAATCTTTTGCCAGCAATCGAAGGTAAGCTTCAGTAGAAAAAAAAATGGCGCCAAATAAAATTTGATTTTCATTTCCAGCCCACTGGTGTTAAAATTCCTCATTATATTAAACCCACCTATCTGGCCAATGCTGAGTACGATGTCGAGAAATGGCCTTTGGCCCAATTAATGCATTTATTAAGGCTGTATGCTGCCCATCGTTGTCTATGGGATGTTAGCTGTAAAGATAATCGCAATCGTAAAATGCGTCATGCTGCTTTGGTGGATGTAACAGCAGCCTTGGATTCGGGTTTTACTAAGGAACAGGTGGTGCAGAAAATAAATATCTTGAGGGCTACTTATCGTTATGAAAAGAAACGTATTAAGCAGCGGATAAGGAGGGGTTTGGGTGCTCGCACCAAATTGAAATGGTTTGCTTTGGCAGATGCTTTTCTAAGGAATGTTCCCAAGAAGGGACACAAGGAAGAGGTAAGTGATGGAAAAGCTTGTAGTATAATAAAATGTGAAAGTTTTGTATGTAGACCCAACTATAGTAGAATGTAGACGCGACTAATAAAGACCAGACTATAGACAAGACTATAAGCCACTAAGGACGAGATTATAGACTCCTTACCATACTATAGACTAAACTATAGACTAGACTATAGACTACACTATAGACTAGACTATAAACTAGACTATAGACTAGACTATAAACTTGACTATAAACTAGACTATAGACCAGACTAGTCCATACTAACGACCGGTTCATAGCTCAGATTATACCCCATATTCCAAACTGCAGTTCCTATTCTAGGGCTGTTTATATAGCAGACTATAGTTCTGTCTATAGATCATACTATAGCCCAAATAAAAGTCTAGTTTATTTTTTCATAATTTATTTTATTTTAAGGATCCCTCAAACTCAGACTCCGACTTAGAAGATACTATAGTTTTTACTATAAATCCCGAATCATTAGTCTCCCTCGAACAAGAGAATTCTATAGAAAACTATCAGGACTATAAAGACAATGGTGAAAATTCATTTGAAACAGAAATCTATACAGATGATTCCCAAACTAATAGTACAGTATGGGAATTAGCAAAAACTGCTGACCCTAAGGAGGAAAACAAAGAAAGAATTGGAAAACAATTAGAAATGGAAGAATCTCAAACTAAAATACAAGAAATTCAACAAGATTTAGTTATGAACAAAAAATCTGCTTGGTCTTTAGAAGATTCTCTCAAATTTATACAGTTGCTGGAAGATTATAAAGTTTTGGAGGCTGGTAAACTCCAACAGGAATTTGCTTTAAAAGCTGTAGCTAAAGAAATGCATTATGACTTTAAAAGTATAGAAAAAAGATGGTTAATTTTGCAAAACACTTTTGAGAAGGAAATGCAAATTATAAAAGAGAATAGTTTGTACAAACCTAACTACAAATGGTGGCCAGCAGCTGAGAGGTTTTTTGCTAAAAAATTAACTAAAGAATTAATAGAAATTAAGGATAAAGCAGAAGAGGATATGACCACTGAATCCATATTTTTAACTGAAACTAAAAGTTTAGCCAGCACTGATGACGAAGACTACGAAAATAGATTCCTACAAAATCCTATACCTTCGGTAGCTCCCTTATCGAACATGAATGAAGCTATGGCTTCTTTATTCCATGCAACTGAAGAGGAAGATGACTTGTCGCAAGAATCTAATACTAACTCCTCTTTCCCTAAAGAAAATGATTCCTCCAGTTCAGGCAAATTTGTATGGCAAGGTTTAGAGGACGATTTACTAGAAGGCAAATGGTCTCTAAAGCATTCGGTAAAATTCCTAAGACTTTATGGAGTGCACAGGTGTTTATGGGACTTAAATGATCCGGATTATCGCTCTAGACCCTTACGCAATGCTGCCATAGAAGATATAGCAGCCTCCATGGGTCATGGCTTAACGGCCTCCTATGTGGCAAAGAAAATTAAAATCTTTCGCATAACTTATATGCAGCAAAGAAAAAGACTTTTGGAGGCTAACGAAAAAGGCGAGAAACCAGAGATTATATTAAAATGGTTTCCATTGGCTGATAGTTTCCTAAGGCCTCATATAGGTTTGCGATCCATTAAATCAGATGCCAAAGAAATGCCACAATTTGATTATCAATATGTTTATGCCAATTTGAATCTGATAGATCCAGCTCTTTTGACCGATTTTCGAGGCAAAGGCACACAAAATGCCATAGAAATTGGCAATAGTGATAGTGATATAATGGAAATGGAAGCAGTTGAGAATTAATTGTAAGTATTTTAAAAGGCTGGAAGTAAATTTGAATTTAATTTGTAAAGTATTTTTTGCTTTTGTTTACTTTTATTAAAGGCATAACGAAAATATTCCACAAGTTTCAAGATATTTCAAGATTTAATTTCATCATTCATAATCATCTTTTAGTCATCTGCTAAAGGTAAGTTTTTCATTAAACATTTTCTTTATTAACAAGTATTTAATATTAGTTAAACATTGGCTTAGTTAAACACTAACAATATTAACATGGGTCAGTTATGACCCCTCGACTCTTAAACATGCCCGTAAAACATTATACCTTTACCGTTACAAATGTCTTCTTTCATTATTGTTTCCCCCCAAGATTTGGGTGTCATGAAAACTTTCTTATCGTCATCATAATCAATTTAAAAACCTTGTTTAAAGGTCACACCACACACACATCAACAAATCAAAACCTTTACATCATGATAATTGTACTATTTTTCGTAAGAAGAATAGAATTTACAACAGGTAAAAAACCATAAATAAAAACCCAAATCAAGTAGAAATAAAAATAAATAAAAAGAAAAAAAAATATGAAGAAAAGGGAGCAAAAAAATGCAATTGTTCTAAACCAACATGTTTAAAACCTTGTTAGAAAAAGACATGTGGCTTAAAGATAAGACCAAACTAGCATGAACACAGAATACAAAAGAATAGAATAAAAACCAAACCAGCCCATGTATTACAAGAAGTGTGAAAGACTCTTCTTGCAAACATAATTAGTAAGAATATGCTTATAGTATAGAGTCTAAAAAAAACAAGTGAGTAAAACCATTCATTAGTTTTTTTTACATACTTACGTTACAAACTAAGGTTAATAACATCATTTAGGTTTTTGTTCTTTTTAAATTTGAATTCTTTTATGTTTTGTTAAAGTGTTAGTTTTTTAATTAGAAAGCTTTAAGCTATCTCTTTCATAATTTCTGTATTATTTCTAAAATTACAATAGATTTCGTAATATAAACTGAAGGAGATTTAACTTCTTCGAAAATATCAAGGCTCTAGCTCCTCTAGTTTAGCCAGAAAACGGACCTTTATTTTCGCCCCAACTTTCACTCAAAAAATGGAAATTTGGTAAGAAACATAAGTGAGCACAGATTTTCAGATTTTGGTGGGAAATATAAGTGATCACAGATTTTCATCCTTTTCTCCCTAGCTCTTCTAGTTTAGCCAGAAAATACACTTTTATGTTTTCACTCAAAAAATGGAATTTTGGTAGGAACTATAAGTGATCACAGATTTTTATTGTTTTGGCCCTAGCTCTTCTAGTTTAGCCAGAAAATGGACTTTTATGTTTTCACTCAAAAAATGGAATTTTGGTAGGAAATATAAGTGATCACAGATTTTCATTGGTTTGGCCCTAGCTCTTCCAGTTTAGCCAGAAAATACACTTTTATGTTTTCATTCAAAAAATGGAATTTTGGTAGGAAATATAAGTGATCACAGATTTTCATTGTTTTGGCCCTAGCTCTTCTAGTTTAGCCAGAAAATGGACTTTTATGTTTTCACTAAAAAAGTGGAATTTTGGTAGGAAATTCAAGTGATCACAGATTTTCATTGTTTTGGCCCTAGCTCTTCTAGTTTAGCCAGAAAATGGAATTTTATGTTTTCACTAAAAAAGTGGAATTTTGGTAGGAAATATAAGCGATCACAGATTTTCATTGTTTTGGCCCTAGCTCTTCTAGTTTAGCCAGAAAATTAAGTTTTATGTTTTGACAAAAAAACTGAATTTTGGTAGGAAATATAAGTGATCACAGATTTTCATTGTTTTGGCCCTAGCTCTTCTAGTTTAGCCAGAAAATGCACTTTTATGTTTTCACTCAAAAAATGGAATTTTGGTAGGAAATATAAGTGATCACAGATTTTCATTGTTTTGGCCCTAGCTCTTCTAGTTTAGCCAGAAAATTAAGTTTTATGTTTTGACAAAAAAACTGAATTTTGGTAGGAAATATAAGTGATCGCAGATTTTCATTGTTTTAGCCCTAGCTCTTCTAGTTTTAGCCAGAAAATGAACTTTTATGTTTTCACTAAAATCGTGGAATTTTGGTGGGAAATATAAGTGATCACAGATTTTTATTGTTTTGGCCCTAGCTCTTCTAGTTTAGCCAGAAAATGGGTTTTTATGTTTTCACTCAAAAAATGGAATTTTGGTAGGAAATATAAGTGATCACAGATTTTCATTGTTTTGGCCATAGCTCTTCTAGATTAGGCAGAAAATTGACTTTTATGTTTTCACTCAAAAAATGGAATTTTGATTTTCATTGTTTTGGCCCTAGCTCTTCTAGTTTAGCCAGAAAATGAACTTTTATGTTTTCACTAAAATCGTGAATTTTGGTGGGAAATATAAGTGATAACAGATTTTCATTGTTTTGGCCCTAGCTCTTCTAGTTTAGTTAGAAATGGGTTTTTTTATGTTTTCACTCAAAAAATGGAATTTGGTAGGAAATATAAGTGATCACAGATTTTCATTGTTTTGGTCCTAGCTCTTCTAGTTTAGCCAGAAAATGAACTTTTATGTTTTCACTAAAATCGTGGAATTTTTGGTGGGAATATAAGTGATCACAGATCTTCATTGTTTTGGTCCTAGCTCTTCTAGTTTAGCCAGAAAATAAACTTTTGTGTTTTCACTAAAATCGTGGAATTTTGGTGGGAAATATAGAAGTGATCACAGATTTTCATTGTTTTGGTCCTAGCTCTTCTAGTTTAGCCAGAAAATGGACTTTTATGTTCTCACTCAAAAATGGAATTTTGGTAGGAAATATAAGTGATCACAGATTTTCATTGTTTTGGCCCTAGCTCTTCTAGTTTAGCCAGAAAATGGACTTTTATGTTTTCAACTCAAAAAATGGAATTTTGGAAGGAAATATAAGTGATCACAAATTTTCATTGTTTTGGGCCCTAGCTCTTCTAGTTTAGCCAGAAAATATACTTTTATGTTTTCACTCATAAAATGGAATTTTGGTAGGAAATATAAGTGAAAACATACTTTTATGTTTTCACTCAAAAAATGGAATTTTAGTAGGAAATATAAGTGACACAGATTTTCATTGTTTTGGCCCTAGCTCTTCTAGTTTAGCCAGAAAAATGGACTTTTATGTTTTCACTAAAAAAAATGGAATTTTGGTAGGAAATATAAGTGATCACAGATTTTCATTGTTTTGGCCCTAGCTCTTCTAGTTTAGCCAGAAAATACATGTTTTATGTTTTCACTCAAAAAATGGAATTTTGGTGAGAAATATAGTTAGTTAGTTAGTTAGTTTGAAATGAGGATGTATATACATCAAATCCGAAGAAATACACCTAGGCCTCTATCGGGCCTGTTGTGCCTCTCCTTAACCAGTGCCTCAGGTGGGAATCGACCCACCACCTCCGGTCTACCAGACTAGAACACTAACCACTAACCTACCGGAGGCCACCGGTGAGAAATATAAGTGATCAAAGGTTTTCATTGTTTTGGCCCTAGCTCTTCTAGTTTAGCCAGAAAATGGACTTTTATGTTTTCACTTAAAAAATTATATTTTGGTAGGAAAATATAAGTGATCACATATTTTCATTGTTTTGGCCCTAGCTTTTTAGTTCAGCCAGAAAATGGACTTTTATGTTTTCACTAAAAAAGTGGAAGTTTGGTAGGAATATAAGTGATCAAAGATTTTCATTGTTTTGGCCCTAGCTCTTCTAGTTTAGCCAGAAAATGGGCTTTTATGTTTCACTCAAAAAATGGAATTTTGGCAGGAAATTCAAGTGATCACAGATTTTCATTGTTTTGCCAAAAATTGACTTTTATGTTTTCACTCAAAAAATGGAATTTTGTGGGAATTCAAGTGATCACAGATTTTCATTGTTTTGGCCCTATCTCTTCTGGTTTAGCCAGAATATACACTTTTTATGTTTTCACTCCAAAAATGGAATTTTGGTAGGAAATTCAAGTGATCACAGATTTTCATTGTTTTGCCATATCTCTTCTAGTTTAGCCAGAAAATGGACTTTTATGTTTTCACTCAAAAAATGGAATTTTGGCAGGAATTTCAAGTGATCAAAGATTTTCATTGTTTGGCCCTAGCTCTTCTAGTTTAGCCAGAAAATGGACTTTTATGTTTTCACTCAAAAAATGGAATTTTGGTAGGAAATATAAGTGATCACAGATTTCCATTGTTTTGGCCCTAGCTCTAGTAGTTTAGCCAGAAAAATGGACTTTTATGTTTTCACTTAAAAAAATGGAATTTTTGGTGGGAAATTCAAGTGATCACAGATTTTCATTGTTTTGGCCTAGCTCTTCTAGTTTAGCCAGAAAATGGACTTTTATGTTTTCACTCAAAAAATGGAATTTTGGTAGGAAATATAAGTGATCACAAATTTTCATTGTTTTGGCCCTAGCTCTTCTAGTTTAGCCAGAAAATGGACTTTTATGTTTTCACTCAAAAAATGGAATTTTGGTAGGAAAAATAAGTGATCACAGATTTTCATTGTTTTGGCCCTAGCTCTAGTAGTTTAGCCAGAATATACACTTTTATGTTTTCACTCAAAAATGGAATTTTGGTAGGAAATATAAGTGATCACAGATTTTCATTGGTTTGGCCTAGCTCTTCTAGTTTAGGCCAGAAAATGGATTTTTATGTTTTCACTCAAAAAATGGAATTTTGGTAGGAAATATAAGTGATCACAGATTTCCATTGTTTTGGACCTAGCTCTAGTAGTTTAGCCAGAAAATGGACTTTTATTGTTTTCACTTAAAAAAATGGAGTTTTGGTGGGAAATTCAAGTGATCAACAGATTTTCATTGTTTTGGCCCTAGCTCTTCTAGTTTAGCCAGAAAATGGACTTTTATGTTTTTCACTCAAAAATGGAATTTTGGTAGGAAAATAAGTGATCACGAGATTTTCATTGTTTGGCCCTAGCTCTAGTAGTTTTAGCCAGAATATACACCTTTTATGTTTTCACTCAAAAAATGGAATTTTAGTAGGAAATATAAGTGATCACAGATTTTCATTGTTTTGGCCCTAGCTCTTCTAGTTTAGCCAGAAAATGGACTTTTATGTTTTCACTAAAAAAAATGGAATTTTGGTAGGAAATATAAGTGATCACAGATTTTCATTGTTTGGGCCCTAGCTCTTCTAGTTTAGCCAGAAAATACATGTTTTATGTTTTCACTCAAAAAATGGAATTTTGGTGAGAAATATAGTTAGTTAGTTAGTTAGTTTGAAATGAGGATGTATATACATCAAATCCGAAGAAATACACCTAGGCCTCTATCGGGCCTGTTGTGCGCTCCTTAACCAGTGCCTCAGGTGGGAATCGAACCCACCACCTCCGGTCTACCAGACTAGAACACTAACCACTAACCTACCGGAGGCCAACGGTGAGAAATATAAGTGATCAAAGATTTTCATTGTTTTGGCCCTAGCTCTTCTAGTTTAGGCCAGAAAATGGACTTTTATGTTTTCACTTAAAAAATTATATTTTGGTAGGAAATATAAGTGATCACATATTTTCATTGTTTTGC